AGTTTCGTAATGCTCAGATTTGTTTGTACCAGTCGGTTTGCTGATTAAGTCACCCTTGGCCTCGGCTGGTCCCTGTCCAATGCCTCCGCGTCATCCCAGAGCTCCATGATACTCTGAACCAAAGCTCGCAATCCTATTACAACACTACCATCTTCCCAGCTCCAATCAGGGTTTAATTAAAGCAGTCAGTCATGGGACAAGAGTAGAAAGAGGAAAAGTGAATTAGTAGTCATGTCTGGCCCAGGAGGTGGAAGATTTGTATTTCTTAATTTGTGTCAGTTATTGAGCTTGGTCTCCTGGATGTTTTAGTGACATTATATGTGATTTACAACAATTACACAACAGATGATGTATTCAGGTATACCTAATAGAAATAGCGGGGGGTGCTGCGTGCGCATCTCTCCCAGATGAGCTGAACAGTTTTTTTGCACGATTTGAGAGCAGCCAGGCTGTGGAGGCACAGAAGGATCAGGAGCCCTGCCCTTTTGTTTTAAACAGGGCAGATGTGTGCAAATCCTTTAAAAGGGTTAACCCAAGGCTCCTGGACCTGATGGCATCCCTGGCCGTGTCCTAAGGGTGTGTGCAGTTCAGCTGGCAGAGGTGTTCACAGACATCTTCAACAGGTCCCTGCTGCAGTCTGTAGTCCCCACATGTTTAAAACACTCCACCATCGTTCCTGTCCCCAAAAAGACAAAAATCACCCGCCTCAACGACTACCGCCCAGTAGCACTCACTTCCATCATAATGAAGTGCTTTGAGCGGTTAGTCAAATCATTCATCACCTCCTCCCTCCCTGACTCTCTGGACCCCCTGCAGTTTGCCTACAGAGCAAACAGGTCCACAGACGACGCCATAGCCCTCACCATCCACACTGCCCTCTCACACCTGGACCCGAAGAACACATATGTGAGAATGCTGTTCATTGATTACAGTTCAGCCTTCAACACCATTGTGCCATCCAAGCTGGTCATCAAGCTCAGAGATCTCGGGCTCAACAGCGCCCTCTGTGACTAGACCCCAGGCAGTGCGGGTGGGAAACATCACATCCTCCACCCTGATCCTCAACACCGGAGCCCCTCAAGGCTGCGTGCTCAGCCCTCTCCTCTACTCCCTGTTCACACACGACTGCGTGGCCACACACAGCTCCAACACCATCGTGAAGTTTGCTGACGACACGACCGTCATCGGCCAGATCACAGACAGCGACGAGACGGAGTACAGAGAACAGGTCGAAAACCTGACATCTTGGTGCCAGGATAACAACCTCCATCTCAACGTCAGCAAAACAAAGGAGCTGATTGTGGATTGCAGGAAGCAGCAAGGAGAGGGACACGCCCCCATCGCCATCAATGGGACTACGGTGGAGAGAGTCAGCAGCTTCAGGTTCCTCGGGGTCCACATCACTGAGGACCTGACATGGACTCTTCACACCACCACCATCACCAAAAAAGCTTGACAGCGGCTCTTCTTCCTCCGCAGGCTGAGGAGGTTCAACATGGACTCCAGGATACTCTGCAACTTCTACAGGTGCACCATAGAGAGTATCCTGACTGGCTGCATCACGGCCTGGTACGGCAGCTGCACCGCCCTCAATCGTAAGGCTTTACAGAGGGTGGTGAAAACTGCACAGAACATCACCAGGACGGGGCTGCCATCCATGGAGGACCTTTACTCCCTGCGGCTCAGGAAGAAATCCCTCCGGATTATAAAAGACCCCCATCACCCCAGCCACAAACTGTTCAGTCTGCTGCCGTCTGGCAAGCGCTACCGCAGCATTCCAGCAGACTAAAACCACCAGACTCAGAGACAGTTTCATCCCACAGGCAATAAGACTGTTAAACACCTGAACTGTTGAAACAACATCCACAATATTCATCTGGCAGCTACTTAAAAAATATTTATCTATTTACCTAATTTATCATATTTCAATGACTTGCATATCGACTCTTATTGCACTATTTCATTTTTTTAAACTATTTTTCTTCTTGTATTTACTATTTACTTGCACTATATTTTTTCTGTTTATTTGTGTTTTTAGCTATGTTCGTTGACAAATAAAGAACCTTGAACCTTGAAACCCTTGGGTGGTTATTGGCTAACGGTTACACAAGCCAGAAAATCGTTATGACATCATAAAGTGGCCAAAATCTGATCAGCTCATTTTCAGACAGGTTTCTATATAAATGGATCAGGAAAGAAAGTGAGCAAATCTTTTTTCCTGAAACTTTCAGAATCTCTTTACACAGAGGGGACACATGTTTATGTATAAAAGACATGAAAAAGTGGATTTTGCATAATAGGTGACCTTTAAGGCATCACTCCAAATGCTCAAACTATTGTAAGCAGCCTCTCCAAAGGATAGTGTCACTATACATAGAATGACTTGCAGAAAATAAAAAAGGGCCATGGGGGGCATTGTAACACAACGCTGCCATCCTGTAGCCGGCTGCTATTTGTGGCGTAAGCAATGGGTGGCAGAGCGGGGTATGTAATGTTTCATGTCCAGATGAGCTATTGACTGTAAGCAGATATGACTGGCTGTAATCTTTGAGACACACTGCAATTTCAGCAGGACCAATGAGTCTATCGTAGGAAAACAAGAGCACATTTTATCAGGCAAGTAGCAGGATATTTGGCTCAACATTTTCTGGGTATTCGGATATAAGGCAGTATTAAAAACGCGCTGGGATCATCTTGAATGTTATACAGCATTCAGTGTATTAAGCTTTTTAATGTACACTTCCAAGCTGCATAAGGTCATATTATGTAGGTCATTATCCTGTAGATCCAGATGCATGACAACACTTGGAATCAGGGATAAGATTTGTGGCCAAACCTGAAATGAAAGGTTTATCGTACTTTGAAAACATCTCACGCACATCCCCCTACCGGTAAATGTATTCTTGTTGTGTTGTACTTATTCCCTGACATCTAAATGGGCCATCTGGGATTTGCACTTTGTTCAATTTCAGTTTTACTTTAAGCCATAAATCTTATGCAACATTTTTTTTTTTCCTTTGTATGTAGGGTTAGGGTTCCCTGTCCCATGCACTGTATAACTCAAGTTATGCAAGCTTATAGGGGAAACAGTTGGCATGCAAACTAATCCTAAACCTAACACACAAACTGATAAAAAACGCACCAAAAACAACCAGGGATGTCTGTTACACATTACATTTGTATCATTACATCATGATCTCAGCCAAACATGCAAAATATCTGATCTAATGCCCTCATGGTGATGGACACAAGTGAATGGAAGAGTGTGTGTTCAGTGTGTTGGTTCAGTGTGTGTGTTCAGTGTGTGTGTTCAGTGTGGGTGTGTAATGCCACATTGTGGAGAGAGTCTAACTTGATGATGCTCTTTGACGCCTCTAGGAAGAGTTACTATTATTTTTTCACCCTAAAGATTAAGTAAAAGCTGTTTCTAAATTGTTCAATATTCATATATTCATTCCAAAAATCAAGCACAGATGTTATTGAAAGTAAATGTAAATAATGTAGAACTACACTTTACACAGAGGAATACCTCCTGTGACTGTTATATTATTCTACAGTTTATTATTTGATTCTAATTGTTGATTGGTTGTTTGTGAAGAGTGTGGTGATATTGTAGTTTTTCAAGATGGAGCTATTGTTCTAATGTATTTACCTTAGGCAGTTTTTGTGTTATTTTCCATACACAACCTTCACCTGAAAAGTAGCTAGTAAAAAATGCTACTAAATTGGTGTATTTCTGGAAAAAGTAAAAGATGTCTTTCTGAAATAGGTAGGGTTGCTATAGGTTATATGTATGTTGCGAAAAAAGACCTAAAAGTGTACTTGATGAAAGTAAACATACTGTATGGGAGAAGACTGAGCTTTAGGCATTTTGCAAAATAAACTATTGTTGAAAACGAATCGATTGTCAAACATCCAATATTCAATCCAATCAAATAATACAAGAAAAGAGAATACATTCAGAAGAATAATCTTTAGTTGGTTGTTGCAAATGTTCAGGCTCCACCTGTCCAAGGGATACTTATCTAATGAGTACATTCAATAAATGATTGCACTTTACTTCAATCGTTTTGAATGCATGAAGTTTACTTGTAATGGCTAATGTTCATATGTAAATGTTACAATGTGGTATTAGTGCTTTTTACTAATGTATTCTGTCTGGTTCCCAATGTGCTTTTGGCTGGTTTATCCAAGCAAAAAGGAACCTATAATTTAATCATGTTATGATCTGTTGATTTAACAAAGTTTGTAGTTTGTTTTAGGAGATGTTAGAGCTTGTAATCCCTAAATGTACATGCATTCATCTAATATTACTTTATTAACTAAACCGCACCATGCAGTTTTATTTGGAGAATATGATCTTCTCGCAATGCAAACTGCAGCTAAGTTTGCCTATAGCAAGTCCTTCTCTCTTTCAACTATAGACAGTGCTATGCATTCAGTTCACCCACACTTTAAATGTTGGACCATATCTCCAACACCTATAAAAGGTGTGATTTCCGCAAGATGTCCAACTAGTTTCCTCATGTGAGCAGGGGCTATGATCACACCGGCACCACAATCTGTTTCACCGTGATGTCTTCTATTATCACTCCTCAGTAGGAAGCCAACCTGCCGCCAGCCGAGCTACAGGAGGCATGCATGCTGTGTGTCAATTGATTTAAAAACACGTCTTTATTAACTTAATATAACGCGTTCTGCTCCTATAATATCCACTTCGTCTGACCATGTGTGCTACTGGTGGCAGAGGAGGGGAAAGGTGACCGGGGGGGCTATCATGAGCCACATTATGTAAATAAGGTGCAGGGGCATGTGCCAGTTAAACCGCAGTGCCGTGCGAAGTGAGACAGAAGCTTTGGACGGTAGAAGCCGGGGCCGTCGGTAGATGGCGGTAACCCAAGAAACCTGATCCACAGAGTTCTCGGGCACTCTGTCTCAGTTTGCAGCACTCGCTCTGAAGGCAGAGGAGCTGAACAGTTTGAAGGACATAATAGAAAAACGCAAAAACCCAGGAGAGCTCACGGCGGGTCCTCTCGAGCTTTGCGCGCAGCACTCCCGAGCAGGAGACGGAACGCTTTGCCAAAAAGAACAACGGGAAAACTAAAAACACCATGGAAGACAAATCGAATTCGTTCTCCAGCAACAAGGAGGAGAAGGCGGATGGAAATAATGTTTTTCAGAGGCAAGACTCGATACAGAAAAATAACACGGGGAGCCAGAACATGAAGGACCACGGCAACTCAGTGGGCTTCAAGGGGGAGCGGGAAGAGGCCATGGCCGGTTTTGACGATCTGGACGAGGAGGACAGGCAACATGGTTTTATGCAGAGGCAATTTGGGGCCATGATGCAGCCCGGAGTGAATAAGTTCTCCTTGCGTATGTTCGGCAGTCAAAAAGCCGTGGAGAAGGAGCAAGAGAGGGTGCAAACGGCCGGATACTGGATCATTCATCCATATAGCGATTTTAGGTAAGGGCTGGAAAAAACACCTGCTCACCCTCCCTCTTTTTTTCATCCACCCCTCCCGTCACCCGGGGGTCTGCAAGCTATACACTTTCACACATGACGCTCTGTCATCGGCACAGCCTGCCCCGAAGCGCAAACGCTAATCTGTATTTAGGCAATCAGGCTCAGGGCTTTACTGACAAAATGTGCTCAGCGAGTGTCTGTGTTTCATTGCGGCATTTTTATTATAACAGAGAGGGACGCACTCAGGCTACAAAGGTGTATCAGTGAGATGTCCTTGGAAAAAGGATGGTGAATGTCAACACACACAGGCGCACCTTTTCCTGATTGTTCCCCCGTATCACCACAGAGTCGGCTCTTCAGTACGATATGTTCCCGTGTAGAGGTGACAGTACCTGGACACAATGTGACAGTGCCATTGCACCATCACGGTTGTAAACATTTCATTGTAGGCGGAGGTACGAGACGACGGGCCTGTGTGCAAAAAAAAATGCACAGAATGCGGTAAAATCGTGCAGGGAAACGATTAGGGAGAAAATGGCCGTTTTTGGAATTAATCAATCTAAATTAATCTGGCTAACACTAGACAACACTTATGGATGAGTGATGTGTTTTTAGGGGGGAGTAAATGTAATGGAATGTGTTTGTTTTTAGAGGGGCTCATCATGGCACACTTCAAATCAAATCAAATCAAATCAGGTTTTATTTATAAAGCACATTTAAAAGCGATTTTTACTTACTCACTTACTTCCTTGTCATTCATGCCACAGTGACATGGTATTTTATGGCATTCTCAACATATAGTGCATTGTCCCATTGTTGTGAAGAGTGATTCTGTACTGTAAGTGGAAACTACATTTAGACTCTATTATCACACATTCATGATGAGTATAGTGTTGCAAATGAGTCTTGCCATTGTGAGTTTAGACCAACTGCTTCTAATGCGTGCTCTAATTTGTTTAACATATCTGGCAGAGCACAGTCAAATGGTAAACAAATGAGATCAGGTACAGCCAGGACTGGTTCTCTACACGCTGCATGTTTACAGTTCACCACTCAACCAATTAAGCATCTCATCTGCGCCGGTGTCCCCTGGCACGGCTTGATGGTGACAATCATCCGCCTTTTCCATTGAAGCTATATGTGACACGCAAGGGCACTTTGATCCCGCTGCCTGTAACACAGAGCTGTCCATGGTCCTGAACTCTGAGCAGGCCTGAGTATGCAGCACAATGTTTCTCTAAGCTTTAATGCATGCTCCTGATTCAGAGTCTGCAGACTGAATTCTAATATAAAGATCTAAACTCTGCAAAACGTCACTTTTATGACCACTAAGCTTGTATTGGTACATTGATCTTAATGCAACAACATCACAATAGCTCTAACTGCCATTTCACAATCAAAATAATGCTAAGTCGGATGCGCTGTACTAGCCCACACAAAGGCACACAGGCATATGCACATGCCCATGTGCTCGCACAGATGTACGATGATGGTGGGCAAGGATTAGTAGCACAACAGTCAATGAGCTTAGCGGTCTCTGAAAACAATTATGTAATGACATTGACCTCTCTCTACAAGATGGCTAAAAGGTTACAATTCAGTCATATGGCCCTTTTACAGCTGGCTATAAATTAGTTTTATTAAGTATATGGGCTGATCTACTGAATGCTTTTTTGTTTAAGAGATAAAGAATTGAGGAGAAAAGTGCCGGGTAAAGGCTCTATTATGGATCAAATCACTGTTGTACACATATATAATGTATAACCATTGCATTATCTTATAAATACGAGACTTGTTGGGCAATCAATGGCGATTTTTGCAATTTAATCTCTGCTGAAGGAGATTTTCTTTCACTAACTCAGACTGTGAAGCCCCCCTAAGGCTCCTTCCTCATGACATTTTCCAAAGGGCATTTTTTTTATAGGAAGTCCTTGTCCTCTAGCTAGTTTAAAGACAACCCCTTTTTGCAAGACAGATTGCCCCGTAGCTTGTACTTTAAGGTTAAATCCTAGTGCTTCAAGAAGCTCAAATACTGGTGCATAAATGATGGAGGTGCAAGGGTACACTTTGTTTGCCAGGTCTCCTTGTAATGTAGCTTAAAAAGTAATCTAATTCTAAACTGTAGGTCTTAACCTAGCCCCTTAATTAATTTACTTTGTACATATTAAACATTTCCTGGACCTTGTTCTTTTCTATACTGAGAGATATTTGTATGACCCAAAAGAGAAAACCCTGTAGGTTCTTTAATGAAAACTCTTACGTAAGTACAGTCCATGAATGACACCACTGTTCACACAGGCTTTATATTGCTTTGTGGGAGTGTTTGAAACTCAATATCCAACATATTCTTTGTACACAGTGGCTGCTTAAAGATTAATGGCAGGTTAGTAATATTCATTATTCATAGATTTGTAGAGAGGGCTCATGCATGGCATCATACACCTCAGGTTATTCTAAGGAGAGGCCTTTGTCGTTTGTTGTCTTCTTTCAGGCATTTTTAAAGAGGCCGTCTGTTTGGCCAAGACACATGTGTGTGTTTTAGACGTTAAGTCATAGTCTATCAAAGTTTGAAAAAAAACCTGGCAACCTGTCAAAGTCATTTAAAAATGACATGTTTGAGAATCCAGTGTAGAACATTGTAGTCGATTCAAACAAATAATAAAAGTAATTCCCTCCCAGACATGGATGGAAAGAGAATGATGTTTGGTTGTAGATCTGTACTCGTATGCTGTTTTTTTTAATAACATCATCACTCACAGATGACTTTGACCGGAATTTATTTGATCTGAATCCCATTTTTCACCCTCTATACATCACTCTGTACAGGCGTGTCACCTCTTGGAGCACGTTATACTCGTCACATTGCATATTGGATTGGGGCCGAAAGACTGTGCTGAGTAAGATTGTACAGTATGGGCTTCCCTCTGTTGCCTGGCAGGAGTGGTCTGACATTGATTATGATGGAGCACTTGTTGTAGGGTAGAAGAAATGAGCTGGCTTGATTTTGACCAGGATTGTTAGCTCTTTGATGTACAACAGAGGCGGTACATTATTCTGTTCAGAGCTTAATGGGTTGTCTTTTTTTGGGTTCTACAGCTCCATGCTCCTGTTTTAGATAAGCCCTCTTGGCTATAAAAGTCAATATTGGGCAAAGACCATGTCTGGCTTTTTGGTTGTCTGAAAGTTTTTTTCTGTGATATATTTGTGGGTAAGAAATACTAATTTTTTTTTAAATAGTCCTCGCAGGGTGCACACATCTGGCAGAGGAACCGATGCTGTGTCTGCAGTGTTGCTTCAAAGCCTGTCTAATGTGTTTTTGGAACAGTGATCCAGTGATTGCAGCTCCCACTTTAATCAATCAGAACAGCTGCCTGTTGGTGTGTTTGGGAGCATGTTGACAAATTGAGGAAGGATTCGGCAGAAGAAATGACTAGCCGTAGTGCAGGGTGCATCCTGATGTGAATGCATACATGGGGAAACACCTCAGGGAAGATATAGGCTGGAGCTGGAGGCGAGTGTATGAGGAGAGCTCCATGTGGATGTGGAAGTTGAGTTGAAGCGTCAGTGGAGCTGCAGAACCTGATGCAGGAGTGTTGGCTGATAACCAAGTGCACCACTGGAGTAGGAGCTGCATTTACAGCTGGGCGCACATCCTCTTAGTTACTGGTTAAACTGGGGCTGGGTGCTTTTTCCGAGTAGAGGCAATGAAGCAAGCTTTTAAGTCGATGATGTAGCAAGAGCAGGGCGCAGTCTTTGAGCTGTCGTTGGAGCTGACTGCATCGGCACACTTCGTGACTGGCTCTTTAAAGAGAGAGGGGACAACTCACTTTGCATTCAAATACCTGAAATGCTCTTTGTTTTTCAAGGATTTAGTTAACTGTGCTACATGCTCCTCGCTAATTCAGCAACATGTTTTGCTGCCTTCTGTTTTATAGTTTCAAATTCAAGAAGTGAAACACAATCTTTTATTCATTAGATAAGTGGGTGTGTTAGAGGTCACGTAAATGCCACCTACACAAGTCATGAGAGGAACAGAAATATCCTGGAGATGTGGGCACTGCGTGGGCTTTTGTTTATGTTAATGAGTGGAAAACATCATGCATTTACTTGAAATATTACAGTTTAACAGATGCTCAAATTGTATTCTTGAATGGTATAAGGATATTTCGTTTTTTACCCTTTAAATCCACATATAACAAAAAAACACTTACATATTTTGTCGACTTCATCAATGACTTTATTCTAGTTAATGAACTTTGCTTTTCTGAGTTCTTGTATTTCAAACTTAGTTTCTTTTGAACTTTCTATCTGTTCTAGCATTTCTCTTTTTTAATCTTAGACCAATTAAGCTCTCCTAAGCAATTTCAGTTTTCCTCAGATCCATAGATTCCTAAAATAAAATAATTGTCTCATCTTTATTTTTTGTTCTTGTTCCCCTCCGAAATGAATATTTTTTCATTGTGTATTGTTATAAAGCAATTTAAAAGATGACTCATTGCGGATGTCATCACTGAAGCCTCGTTTTAAACATATAAATGTTAATAAAAAGAATAACCCGTGACGCATACTGCTCTGTGTCCTTGCATGTTGGATGGAGGCAATAGACTGAATATTATACAATAGTGTCTTTAAGTATTCAACATGGTATGATAAAGGGTTTGCTTTTATATTCGCTTAGTCTATGCTCATTGAGATTTCTACCATAGATACTTAAGGAATAAAGTGCATCATGTATTGTGCTTAGTTGTATCACCTAACGTATAGATTCAAGGCTCACCGTATGAAGAGTCCAATCCCTACGTCTATAGTTCAATGCCTGCTGGTGTAAAAATACCTATAGTGGATATTAAGAACCACCTGGATGACCCCTGTTCAGTTGGAGTGAAGACAATTATCGGACACATGATCTGAGGGTATTTATAAAGCCAAGGCCCTGTCTTAATTCGTTCAAACAGATCCATTACTGGGTGGCCAGCCAGACAGGCAGCCTGCCAGTCAGCCAGCCAGCCAGCCAGTCAGCCAGTCCATTTCCATCTTCAACAGCAGCAACGTACGGGCAGGCAGGCAGAGCAGAGGCAGGCAGCGATGGCGTCAGTGGAGAGTTTTTAGCACGAGATAGGATTCCTGAAAGCATCTATTTTCATTCACGGTTGCTCGGCCTTTATCGAGGCCCAGGACACTTCGTGAGAAGAGCAGGGTGCTGATGAATCACTTCTCTGTTCATCACAAGACAGAGGGCAGGGACATTATCACAGCAAGGAGGACCAAAGGGTCTCCTACTAAAGTCCTCAATACAAGGAAAGGGCCAGCAGCACATTTTTCATGCCCTTGAATAATAGTTGTACTACTTTCAGTAACTTTGGGACTTGGCAAAAAGACTAAGAAGATATTTAGGTAACAATATAAGCATATGGAGCTCTCAAAGCACGAGCTAATGCTACCTAATTCTCTTGTGAGGACAGCATTATAAAGGCAAGACCTTAGAGCCTCTTCAAGTCCACAAACGATAGTGTTGAACAATTCCTCAGTGATTGTTAAGACCCATAGTCTACTCTAAATGTTAGATGACAAACTGATAGTAAAAGTTGTAAAGTCAGACTATAAAACCACCGTCATGTTAGGCCACGTTAGCTGCAATATCTCAGCATATATTGGATGAATTGTCGTGTAAGGTTGTAAAGCAATTCAAGTTCCCCAGAGGATTCATCCTGCTAACAACCTGTTGATGTCTTGCCAACTATTAGATGGATTATAATGAATTGTAATGACTTTGGCGATGCTGCTATAATCAGGTCAAATGTTGTATCTGTCCAATATTTTGTTTTGTGACCAAATACCGGCAAACATTTCCATCATCCTTAACTGTACTTTATGTTTAGTGCTGATAAGACGTAGTTGAGTTAGCATGCTGATGTTAGCAATTGATTTCAAAGCGCTGCTCTCTTTAAAGTGGACCTATCATGCTATATTTGAATAATATAGTGTAGGACCATACCTATATAAGGCATATTTATACTTTTTTTTTTTCAAAATACCAAACAGATCATGCATTTTAGCCATGCCTCATTTCGCTCAATTTGAAATTTTTTAGCTCTGTTTTTGCAAGGGTTGATTCTGTGAGAACAGCACCATCTACAGGCCTGGCATATGTACTACAGCGTCTCCAGGGCTTTCGAACGGCAATGGCCGTGGCTGTCTCCTCCTGATTGGTGGAGTTGGCCCAATAGCCGTAGCGCCACCGTCCTGACGTCAGGACAGTGTTCAAATCTGGATCAGTTTTTATCAGATCCGTTGCAGCCCCTTTTTTAGAGATTTGGGTATGGAGGAAAATAGAGAGGGTTGTGTTTTCTGACACTTGGTGAGTTCCCTGGAACACCGGGGACACATATTCATGTATAAAAGACGTACACAAGTGCATTTTGCATGATAGGTCCCCTTTAAGTTCTACCTAGACTCTATTACTTAACTTTTTTTCTAGGTTTATTCTTACCCTTATAGCCTTAAGGTAGGAATATGCAACAGTTGGACGGCTTTCTACTCTTAGACAAACTCTTAGAAGTGTAACCACATTAATTGGATTGAAATGCACCGTCTGTCTGCCTAGTACAACATGTTTTCATCTTTGCTTTACTCATGTATGCCTGTCTCTTCGCAGGTTCTACTGGGACTTGATCATGCTCATCATGATGATGGGGAATCTAATCATCATTCCTGTGGGAATAACCTTCTTCTCAGAGCAGACCACCACCACCTGGCTGGTCTTCAATGTGGCCTCGGACACCATCTTCCTGGTGGACCTGGTCATGAACTTCAGAACGGGGATCGTCAACGAGGAGAGCTCCGAGATCATACTCGACCCCAAGATCATCAAGATGAATTACCTGAAAAGCTGGTTTGTTGTGGACTTCCTCTCCTCCATTCCAGTGGATTATATCTTTTTAATAGTGGAGAAAGGCTTTGACTCGGAGGTTTATAAAACAGCCCGTGCCCTGCGAATCGTCCGCTTCACCAAGATCCTCAGTCTTCTGCGTCTGTTGAGACTGTCCCGACTCATCAGATACATACATCAGTGGGAGGAGGTATGTATATGTGTGTTTGTCTGTACACATCAGAGTAGGAGATTGAAATACATGTAGAGTAGGACAACAATGCAGAGTTATGCTCGTTTAGATTTCTCTGCTGCATGGTGGTTCTCCGTGTGGGTTCTTCTCCCCGGCAACAACCTTGAAAGGTTAACCCACGGATATAATTGTGCAGGTTTAACGCTAATAGGTGCTGTCAATCACCACTGGTCAGAAGGCTTATCTGTAGATAACAAGTAATAATGTCAGTTTCAGCTCATTGATGGGTGAAATGTATTCAGAATCCGAAATCAAAAGTAATTGCCTCCTTTTCTTTCAGGACAAAATGCATTATATAGTGGGTTATATGGATTTAGGGCATAATATAATGTACGCAGGAGTATAGCGACGTGACTTTATAAAGGTAAGATAGATATTAAAGGCTAAATGAACTATACTTATGAATGTTTTGTTGGTGTGGCTGTACGAGATGGTGGATTTTGTGTGAACATCCTCAAGGTTAAACCCCAGCGGACATTACAGAGACTGATACATTATTACCCTCCATCGAGTCATTGCACTCTCTGACTCAGACTGCTTAACCGGGCTCTAGCCTTCTCCTTCCCGCGGTAACGATTTCATTACACACTGAAGGATTCCTTCCCTTATCATGACTGTTCCATTCCAGCAGGTAGATACATTTTCACATCGTGACCGGAAAATAAAAAGCGCTGGCATCACGTTTGATTTAAAATGTAGTCTGAACTAAATGTAACCATAAATCTATTTAATAAGCTGGCTGCTCTTTTCTCACCTCATCCTCAACGTCCTTGCCCTCACAGCCCCCTGTCCGCCCCTCACTGTCTGTCTCCCCTGTTGTTATAGCTGCTGTTATCCATGCTATTTGTTACAAGCAAATGGTGTCGTTGCCAGGGCTCAACCTGAGGTTACATTCATTGGAGTGGACACACTGTATTGTGCAAGGATATATCAGTAACACAAATGGTTTATTTACTGTATGAAGATGAAGCCAAAAGCATTTATCTATAGTCATGAAGAGTATCTGGCCCGAGTTTGGCGTTAATAGTACAATTGTGCAGCGTTCCCATTTCCCAGCCCCCATAGTATGGATCAATGAACATTTCTGGAGCAGGAAAATATATATTATACTGTTTATCGCTTATATTTCTCTGTCAGTGTATGTTTAAAACTATCTTCTATTACCATTAGTGCATAATATGGCATTTGAAAAACAAAAGCATTATGCATGCTTCAGCAGAGCATTATTCAACCGCCAGTCCAAATGTGGATTTACTGTATACACACACAACGAAACACACAGACACACAAACCATATTCTGAAAGAGAGCACCATATGGATCTCAGTTGCTTGGTGTTATGGTATTTGGCATGCACACAATGTGGGAAGTTGATTATTCATTTCAGATAGGGGCTGTACCGTGCAGTTTGCAGAGATGTATGCAGTGGGAGGATGAGAATGGTATGGACCAGGTTAGAAACACAAATAGACGGTGCCCAAGGTTAATGAAAATCTGCAGTCAGCATACAGTGAGGCAGGCAGTGCAGTATAGAGATGTGTCATAATGCTTGATACAACAGCAGAGCTCACTCCCTGCATTTCGTCTCACTAATGCTCAGTCATTCCTCTTTGTTTCCAATTGTCTCTCAGCACCATACCTTCCGTTTAACCTTTGAAAATTCAGTATAGAAATGAAATTGTTATTTTGGTGTTTAACAGACACATCGAATAATTACACAACAGCGAATCCAAAGGAGGCGTGAGGGGAAAGAAAAGGCACTCGTGGAAATATTCCAAGCTGTCGTAACATATTAGGTGTAGGATGCAGGATTAGAGCTTTAATGGAGGGGCAAATGCAGTCCCCTGCTGCCATAGTGGGTTCCAAGCAGTAAACAATCATCACGACATCCCCGGGATGGACTCCATTTGTTATTCAGACAGTGAATCTCAACCATAAATCATCTTGCAGCCCTGCACGTCCGTCATTCCTTCATCTGTCGTGTGCCTCCCTGCCCCCCTCTTTTCACTTCGTCACCATCTCTTCCTTCCATCTGCGAAGTAAAGAGGGTTGTTATTTCATCAGCGCTGGACCCAGAACTAGGCTAAGTCAGATTTGTTGATTTGCCAACACACCATTTTTTTGTGGTGACTTCATCTTCTACCACTCTCAGGCCTTATACTCCAACAGTCTTCATTTGTACCTCACAGGAGCCGCGTTTTCCTGCTTGGTTGATACCAACTTATACATGTTTGAAAGATTTTAAAGATGAACCTTAACTCATTTGATAGTAAAAAAACATGCTTGTGCCAAATGGGAACATACTGCTATGAAGTGGCTGCTGGGTATTATATGTAAAACAGCTGAAAAGAACAGTATTAGTACCCACAGAGGAACTGATGCATCTTATTTACATCTTATTCCCATTGTCACTCAGTAGTAGAAGTAGATTAGCCCATCTGGCTGTGCCAATATAAGCAATGATGGCCAAAAGAAACCTACAGAATAGTTTCAATAAGCATTATTACCACCTCTTATTTGATTTAAAGGCCACTAGCAAGACCATCTTTTGTTATAAATGCTCTTACCCCAGCTTTTTTTCATTTAATTGAACAATTATGGTAATTATCATATACATACAAAAATCCTTCATCAATTATCCAGTACAATGCATCACAGCATTTACAGCTACAGTTAATTTCAAATGACCTGTTTTGTGTGCTACTATTTCTATATGTGTGCAGGGTTCTTTCTTTGTTTGTTCAATCATTTATTCATTTGTTTGCTCACACATAATTATTGCAATGCACGGGGCTTAGGGAAATTGCAGCAAACAGTGTGAAGGTCACGCAGGGCAGTAAATATACGCTCTGTATTCAAACACCACAATTTACAGTAAACAAGCACTGAACCAAATGGAGGCTGGAGCACGTTTCTACATCTAGAAAGAAACGTAGTGACTTTTTCCTTATATTCTTGGGAACTTGCGAGTGCCTAAATTAAATATTTGGAGTCTTTCTAAGTGGTGCCGACATGTTTCCACTGTACAGTTTGTGTAGCTTGACTCAAAGACATGTACAACCGGCATGTTACACAGAAAGTGTTTTAGGCACTTTGTAGTAACGCCAGAAAGGGCAACAAGGACTCTTCTGCCAAGGGAAATGCTTTTTCAAGGACATGTTCTTTAGCCTTTTAGATATGATGTTGAGCAATTCACCTTTTTCCTTACAAAAGTGTTTTGTAAACATTAGAATATGTTGCACAAAGTCATTTTAACCATGGTTCAATGTAACGTGAGAAGTGTTGCTTGTACTAATGGAATATCACTTGATTCTGCAGCTACCCTCACTTCTGCTTTAGCATCTTTCAGCTCTTTGTTTTGGGTTTGAAGCCACACATGTACAGTTTTTATTATCAATTATCAATCATCAGCTCTTTTACAGCATAACATAATCTAATGAAACTTCTTTATACTCCCTATATAGCACCAAACAGCAAACAGGCGAGGTTCTCAGGTGAACATGTAGCATTTATCAGCTAAAACTCAAGATATCTGCCTCAAGACTGGGGAGTGAAAAAAGAGAGTATATATTTAACTTATATTCATCATGTATCCAGAAACTCCAAATAAAATGAGTTCACATACATACAGTACATAAATAAATCCCTTATTAATAAGTTCCCACCGTAGAGGCCCACAGAAGACTTATATTTAATCACTAGGGATTTAATAATTAAATCAAATAATGAAGCAGTTTTTATAATGGTCATTTTTTGCCCTTTCATCTTTAATTTCGCCGGCATTTTTAGATGTGTCAAGGGCACTTGTGCCCCCTGCTCCTATTCATTTCCAACCCTTCTTATGTTTTTTCTTTTTATTTCATTTCCTCTCAGACACACAGCTAATTATCCCAACGACCTTAAAGTCACAGTTCTTTTCCCATACTGCTGCTGCTACCTTTAGATATACATGAGCTAATGTTGGACATATTCCAGGATTTGCATGTAGATACCAGTCTGTCTAGTGCTCATTTTGGGTAATTGTATTTAATTAAAACATGCAAAAACAAACCAAAGGGGTAACATTTTCAAACTGCGGTAGAGAATCCCCACAGGTCCCAGTGCCACATCTGGCTCATCACAGCCACCAGGCCTCCCGCCAAATCCCAGCGCGAGCACAGGGGCTCAGGTTGGACGTGTGGCAGCAAACCAGCCCCCCCGAGGGTTGTGTCTCATTTTCTGAGGCCCAACACAGACTTTTTCTGTTACTCAACAATAGTGTATACTCATCAGGAGACACGATCTGTACAACACTGCATTTTGCTTACTGAATAACAGGGATATTAGCAGGGGTGCACATAACTGGTACGCGGCAACAATCTGAAATGCGTACCGTCACTTGTGTCACAAAGCGCATTTGCGTACCGACGTACTTGTGAAGCTTTTCCAGAAGGCGGTTAGATCACCAGACGACAGAGTCGGTCTCCGTGTGCACAGACAGGGCTGCTATTAACGTCGGTCTGTACAACGGAATTGTGCCAAAACTACGCCAACCGGCTGCGGAGGGAGACTCCCCCCCTTCACTGGAGAACTGCGCTAAAACAGCTGATCACAACGCTCTGTGGTCACGAAGTACTCCACTAGCTACACTAGATACAGAGGGCTTCATCAAATAACTTTGAGTGGAGCCAGAAGTTGGAGTACCAAACACTGACTCCAGGTACTCATCGGAGTACCTCACTGAGAAAGTTGTGTGCACCCCTGGATATGAGGGATTATTCATTCATCATCAAACCTGTACATACTGAAAAAAGGAACATCGTTTTTTGTGGAAATATCTTAGACATAGAAAAGTGCCACTATTCTGTATAATCAGTTGTTTCTCATCAAGTCTTTTCTCTGCAGAAGAGTCATCAATGCTTGTTTTATAAGACACCTACTGGGACCTAATTATATTTCCCTGTGTGATGCTTCGTTGAA